TCGCACTTCAGGGAACTTTGGAAGATCAAATCGTGCAATGTAACCCTGCTATGGAAGCGTTCGGTAACGCAAAAACTGTAAGAAACGACAACTCTTCTCGTTTCGTAAGTTGCTTATTATTTGAAAATATTCTTGTACTGTTGATAAATCTATAATCATTCTAAGCACGCCTTATAATTGCAGGGAAAATTCATCCGAATTCATTTTGGTAGCACCGGAAGTCTAGCATCTGGAGACATTGAGCATTGTAAGTGAAAATTAAAGCTTCATTCATATTTCTGGAAATATTTTCATTGCATTCATATTTACTATTGTTAATCCCAGATCTTCTCGAAAAATCTCGTGTCATCTGGCAACAGGGAGGAGAAAGAAACTACCATATATTTTATCAGCTAATCTCAGGATCAAAACCGGAACTGATTGGTACATATAAGACATATAATAAGAATCATTTTCTCTGTATTTATTGTGACGTTAAACGGCTAAATATATGTATTATCTTCCACAGACCAACTTCTTCTCACAAAGGATCCTTACGACTACAAATCCATTAGTCAGGGTGTTGTTTCTGTCAACAACTTAGATGACGGAGAAGAATTGCTTTTAACTGATGTAAGGAATTTTAGTTAAATATTCAATATTGATAGTAAAAATTTATCATAAATTGCAGAAACATAGAGATTATTACTTGTTATAGGATGCATTCAAAGTTCTTGGGTTTACACCAGAAGAAATTAGTGGAATTATCGCATATGGCTGGTATTATGCACCAACAAAACATGAAGTTCAAAAACAAGCAACGTGAAGAACAAGCGAACCTGATGGCACTGAGGGTCAATATAAACAATTTTTTTTTTAAACCCAGTTTCGATTTATGTATGAGATGTACTTAACGTCATTCATCGTATTCAGATGCCGATAAAAGTTGCATATTTGTTCGGTATGAACTCTGCTGATTTTCTCAAGTACTTGTGCATCCACGCGTAAAAGTTGGAAAGAAACGAATACGTAACAAAGGACAAACTGTCCCACAAGTTACCTATGGTATTGGCGGATTGAGTAAAGGTGTTTTTGAAAAACATTTCAACTGGTTGGTCAAAATCATCAACAACAGTCTCAGCACTAAACTGCCAAGAAGTTACTTCATTGGTGTACTCGATATTGCTGGTTTTGAAATTTTTGACGTAAGTTTTCTTAATAGCAGCCTACAAAGTGCAACTTGGCAACATACTAATATTAACATTATTCCAGTTCAACAGCTTTGAACAACTTTGCATTAACTTCACCAATGAAAAATTGCAACAATTTTTCAACCATCACATGTTCGTTCTTGAACAAGAAGAATACAAGAAGGAAGGAATTGATTGGGTTTTCATTGATTTCGGTATGGACTTGGCTGCTTGCATCGAACTTATCGAAAAAGTAAGTATTCAACTATATTTTCAATTAATAAATGTATTTATATACACAGTTCAATGTAATAATACTTATACATTTTTACAGCCTCTTGGAATCATGTCTATTCTTGAAGAAGAATGCATGTTCCCGAAAGCTACAGATAAATCTTTTATGGACAAACTGTACCAAAATCATTTAGGCAAAACTAAGGCGTTTGGTAAGCCAATCAAGAAGACAAAATTCGAATCTCACTTTGAGCTCCACCATTACGCTGGAACTGTAAGTATTCGAGTTGTTTCGATTTCCTCTCTGGTTACAAAGATTTAATATTTACATTTTATATTTAATCAAGGTTGGATACAGCATCACCGATTGGCTCGAGAAAAAAGGAACCATTGAACAATAGCGTTGTAGAATTGTACAAAAAGTCCTCATTGAAACTTATGCAAACTATCTGGGAAGGTTATTTGAGCCCGAGGAAGCAGCTGCAGCTGCAAAATCTGGAGGAAAGAGAAAGAAGGGAGGTTCTTTCAACACTGTATCTTCCATGCACAGAGAGAGCTTGAACAAACTCATGACTAACCTGAGGTATATACTATAAAAATGGATTATTCACTTATACAATATCACTTTGACTGGTCAATATTTGAACTATCATGATGTATTTTCCAGATCAACTGCTCCACATTTCGTCCGTTGTATTGTTCCCAATGAAACAAAAACTCCAGGAGTTATGGATCCTCATGTTGTTTTACATCAGCTTCGTTGTAATGGTGTTTGGAAGGTATTCGTATTTGCCGCAAAGGTTTCCCCAACAGACTTCCTTATGGGATTTCAAACAAAGATATCGTATTCTTAACCCAAATGCCGTTCCTGATGGTCAATTCTGGACAGCAAGAAAGCTTCCGAAAAGATTCTTACATCTCTTGAAGGCATTGATCACGAAAAATACAAGCTCGGGCACACTAAGGTAAAATAGTTGAAAATTGTTGCGATTCGTTGTCATTTCGTATTTTGAAAGTTTTACAACATCTTAAAATTTTCATAGGTTTTCTTCCGTGCTGGTATGTTGGGTGTTTTGGAAGAACTTCGTGACAACAAATTGTCATCAATTTTCAAACTTATTCAAGCTCGTATGCGCGGTAAATTATGAGAATTGAATACAACAAACTTATCGAAAGAAGGTAAATAGAAACATTCAACGATTCAAGCTTAATCATATTCTGAAATTAGTTTATAAATGGGTCATCTTATTTAATGAAATATACACAAATACAAAAATCGGTACAATACAATATATGTTATGTGATTTCTTGCATTTGGTACATTTCGAATCACGGTTTAAAACCTTTATTCTAATTGTATTTATGTCTTGCAAACTTGATATTCTTTCTGTTCGTAGTCAATTAATTATCTCGTAGTCCTCAGCAACAAATTTATCCTTTCATAACCTAATCAATAAAACTTATTCAGAGTGGCAGTCCGCGTTCTTCAATCTCTTCGCGCTTTCTTTGGTGTTCGTGACTGGGAATGGATGAAACTTATGTTCAAGATCAAGCCCCTCCAAACTGCTGAAGCCGCAAAAGAACTTGAACAATTGGAAGCTGAAATGAAGAACTCAAGACCAACTTGAAAAAGAATCCAAGAGACGAAAGGAACTTGAAGAATCTCAAGTTTCTCTCATCCAAGAAAAGAACGATTTGGTTTTACAGTGCAGTCTGTGAGTATCAATGTGGTGATGCGTGCAATACATTTGGAATATCCAATTCACGTTTTAACTTTACTGACAGGAACAAGATAGAATCGACGATGCTGAAGATCGTTGCGATCAACTTATTAGAACCAAAGTTGAATTGGACGGAAAAATCAAGGAAACACAAGAAAGATAGAAGATGAAGAAGAATTGAACAATGAATTGGTTTCTAAAAAACGCAAGCTAGAAGATGAATGCTCCGAATTGAAAGAAAGATATTGATGATCTTGAAATCACTCTTGCTAAAGTGAAAAAGAAAAACACGCTACTGAAAATAAGGTATGTGCAAAATATCACCCTAGTTCTATAGCCTTAAACAAAATTAACTCGTTGATTTATTTTTTGTTATGTTTTTTTTCACAGTTGAAAAATTTGCAAGAAGAACTAGCCACACAAGATGAACAGATCGCTAAACTTCAAAAAGAAAAGAAAGCTCTTCAAGAAGCACATCAACAAACATTGGATGATTTACAAGGCGAAGAAGACAAAGTCAACAGTCTTTCTAAGCAAAAGGCAAAACTTGAACAACAAGTTGATGACGTAAGCATAACATACTTACCATACGTTCCGCTTTGGGCGAGACAGTCCCGCTTTAAAGTCTTGTCCCGCCGTCCCGACAAGTCAGCTAAAAGTCCCGCTTTTGCGTTCAGCCATCCAGCATAATACACGAACATGTTCTCGTTACTGTTGTTTCCGTGTAGCGCAGCGCTAGCCTACCTACTGAAGGTGAATGCGTTTGTTTCCCGCTGATTCTCATTGATAGCAGACGTATCGCATGTAAAACCAATATCAATTAGTCTAAAATCGAAATATTTGTACCGGTATCGTTAACGTCAATTCCTTTCTATTTTTCAAACTGAACCCGATATTTGTACAGAGAATATGCGCATGAAATTTCGATTCCAATATGGTCGATAAAGACAGCTTTAAATGTAGGAATGAAGGCATATGTAGTAAAATCGGAAAATGATAAGTTACAAAATCACAGCTAAGGGGTCGTTGTCTTTTGAGGCGTCCCGCTTTGAGGTCACAAAAATATGGTAACCCAATATATATACATATTTTGATACATTGTATGATGATAATTACATTTTGTTTCCAGCTTGAAGCTTCTCTCGAACAAGAAAAGAAACTCCGAATGGATCTGGAGCGAACTAAAAGAAAGTTGGAAGGAGATTTGAGACTTACTCAGGAAACAGTCATGGATCTTGAAAACGATAAACAGAGATTGGAAGAGAAATTGAAGAAGCAAGAATTTGAATACAGTCAACTTGCAACTAAACTTGAAGATGAACAAGCTCTTGTTATGCAACTCCAAAAGAAAATCAAAGAACTTCAAGCTCGTATTGAAGAACTTGAAGAAGAACTCGAAGCTGAACGTGCAGCAAGAGCAAAAGTTGAAAAGCAAAGAGCTGATCTTTCAAGAGAGTTGGAAGAATTAAGTGAACGACTTGAAGAAGCTGGCGGTGCAACTGCTGCACAGGTAAATAAAAGGACGCACATAGTTTCTATACTTATAATATTGCTTAATACATAATATACTGAAACAATGAATTTACTTTTCAGCTTGAACTGAATAAACGCCGTGAGGCTGAATTTTCAAAACTTCGCCGCGAGTTTGAAGAATCCAATCTTGCTCACGAAGCAACAGTTTCAACATTACGTAAGAAGCATGCTGATTCAAGTGCTGAAATGAGCGAACAGGTCGATAACTTACAAAGAGTCAAACAGAAATTGGAAAAAGAAAAGAGTGAAATGAAAATGGAAATTGATGATCTCGCTGCCAACGTTGAGAGCGTTACTAAGGCTAAGGTATGTATTAGTTTTTTTACGGTTTAATATTATCAGTAGATGTATATATTCAACTGATAAATATATATATTCAATATTCTTGTGTTTTAGCTTAACTATGAAAAAATGGCTCGCAATCTAGAAGAACAGTTCGGTGAAGCAAAATCCAAGTGTGACAACTTGACAAAAGAAGTAAACGAATTGAACGCATCTAAAGCGCGATTCGCCTCAGAAAATGGTAAGTTGACATTCGGAAATCAAGTGCTTTCCCTTAATAAGTGATTTGTTTTAAAGAATATCGCCAACCAACTTCACGCAAATCAAAGTGTCGTTAATAATGTATTTAATACTCTTTTTATATTGATTACTGTTTTATAGGCAAGAATTATTTTCTCATATTTTTCCAGGCGAACTTTCGCGTCAACTCGAAGAACGTGAGCATTTGATGGCTCAACTTACAAGAACCAAAAACAGTTCTTCACAACAAATTGAAGAACTCAAGAGAGTTGTTGAAGAAGAAGCTAAAGCGAAAGCTGCTCTTGCACATTCTGTACAAGCTTCAAGACACGATAACGATCTTCTTCGTGAACAATATGAAGAAGAACAAGAAGCAAAGGCTGAACTCCAACGAGCTCTATCAAAAGCAAACGCAGAAGTTGCACAATGGCGAAACAAATATGAAACCGACGCTATTCAGAGAACTGAAGAATTGGAAGAAGCAAAGTAAGTTACCACCATCATTTAGAAACAAAATTTTATAATTAGCTCTCATACATGTAAAATTCCTAATATCTGTCATGCAGGAAGAAGTTGGCCACTCGTTTGCAAGAAGCTGAAGAGCAGGTCGAAGCCACCCAGGCAAAATGTGCAAGCCTTGAAAAAACAAAGAACCGACTCCAAGGGGAATTGGAAGATCTCACAATCGACCTTGAGAGATCTAACTCGGCTGCTGCAGCTTTAGACAGAGAAAGAAACTTTGACAAGGTAAATAAATATATGCTCAAAATCTGACAAACACAGAGTTATTATTTGGACACATTAAGCAAATTACTAATGCTGAAATGGTTTTTAGATTCTTGCCGAACACAAACAAAACGAAGAAGAATTGCAAGTAGATTTAGAACAAGCACAGAAAGAAGCCCGTGGTTTGTCAACTGAATTGTTCAAGATGAAGAATGCTTATGAAGAATCTCTTGATGCTCTTGAAACTGTCAAGAGAGAAAACAAGAATCTTCAAGAAGAAATTGCTGATCTTACTGATCAGCTAGGAGAAGGAGGAAAAAGCATACATGAACTTGAAAAGGCAAAGAGAACTTTGGAACACGAACGCAACGAAATACAGGTATTTAACTTCACAGCGGCTAAGCTCATATGAGAGAATATTTACGCTTAATTTTGTGCTCGGTAAACTACTTTTAATATCGCTCTTAGCTCTTTGTTGACGTTATCGCCTGATATGAGAGAAGCGATAAAACCTTCCAGCCGTGACGCAAAGTGCGAATGCTATAAATAGCGTGGATTTCAAAATCGCCTGTCAGACGTCTGAAAATGTCGACTCAGCTCAGACAGGAAATACTCCTTTATAATGACTTATTGTTGGTTTAGCATGTATTTTCAGTCATATATACTATCCCTGACCATCCCTGGCGCTGTGTTGTTTTGATAAATATGATTTCGACTGTTCCATAGTTGGCAGAAGTATGGAGATTTTTGTAGTTAAAAAAAACGTAAAATTAATGGTAATTTCAACGCGTAAATGCGCGTATGGGATTGTTTACGCCGTTCTACGCGCATTTCCGTCGAAAAAATTTAATTTTTTGCGTTGGGGGTGGTCTGTGCAGTAATAATAAGAGCTGTGACGTCATCAAAATCAGTAATTTTAGCCTTGAACTTGATACACCTGTAAATACAATTGTGAATTTCAGAGTAATAACCATTTATGCTATAATAGGCGTTCGGTGATGTTGTATTAGGAAAAACTTGACGAAAACGTTGAAAAAAAAATTAATTAATTAGGAATTAATTATTAACCCTCTACTGTATACAAAATTTCTCAAAGTCCAATTTATTTTTAGAAATTTTTGAGATATTTTTGCAAAAAAATTTTTTTTTTGGAGTGTAATTTAAAGATATATTGCTGAATAGAACTCTAGCAGACGCTTTTAAAAATCCATAAGAGAAGCTTTAGGGCTTAGTGGTTGACAAAAAAAATAACTTTAAAAAGACCATGTCAAAAAAATTGGGTCAACAGCTGGAAGAGAGTTAACACACTTGATGATTGATCATCAATTTTAGTTGATATCATAAAGTATTTTTTCTTGAATATGATTTCAAATTGCAGGCCGCTCTAGAAGAAGCAGAAGGTGCCATCGAAGGTGAAGAATCAAAGGTCCTCCGTTTACAAGTGGAGATGGCTCAAATCAAACAGGACTTCGAAAGAAGACTCAGTGAAAAAGAAGAAGAAATTGATAGCCAAAGGTAAGTTAAGACTCAAATTAGAGATAATGAATAAACTTGGAAACGATTTTGCAACTGCTATCATTTGCTGCGCAACCAGTTTTAATACGTATTTGCAATTATCGGCAAAATTTCAATAGAAAACTCATAAATTTTTATTTCATATACTCAAAAATAAAAACATTATTCAAACTTGCAGACGAAACCAACAACGGTCCCTTGAATCAATGCAAACTACTTTGGATTCTGAGAGTAAGGCAAGACAAGAAGCAGTTCGTATGAAGAAGAAGATGGAAGGAGATCTCAACGATCTTGAAATTCAACTTGGACATTCTACTCGACAAGCTACTGATTCCCAGAAAGCAGTTAAAGCTGCCCAAGCTCATGTTAAGGTTCGTACGTTTACGAAATAAATATAATTTATAATTTGAAATGTCTTAATATATCTCTTATGTCTATCTTAAATTTTATAATAGGATTTAGAATTGCAAGTCGATGAAGCTCAACGTCACTCTGAAGATCTGCAAGAACAATTCGCTGTCATCGATCGCAGAGAAAACTTACTGAAGGCTGAAATTGATGAGTTGAGATCAGCACTCGAACAAGCAGAACGCGGCCGCAAACTTGCAGAAACTGAACTACTTGAGAGCAGCGAACGATCCAATCTTCTTCATACACAAAACACCGCACTTATCAACCAGAAACGCAAGTTGGAAGGTGAATTGCAAAACATGCAAGGAGAGGTTGAAGAATCTGTTCAGGAACAGAGAAACGCAGAAGAAAAAGCAAAGAAAGCAATTACAGACGTATGATCATTAGCAATTTAGTATTATACCACGAGACTAATTCCCAAAATATATAATGCTTATTAAATATTTTACTTACAGGCTGCAACAATGTCTGAAGAACTTAAAAAGGAACAAGATCTTTCATCTCACTTGGAAAGAATGAAGAAGAATATGGAACAAACTGTGAAGGATCTTCAACAACGACTCGATGAAGCTGAACAAGTTGCACTTAAAGGAGGAAAGAAACAAGTTCAAAAACTTGAAACTAGAGTATGTATAATATGCAAATGCAACCGACCGTTTACACGGTTTTCTATTATACACATACTTATATGTAACTCTATAATTTTAGGTCCGCGAACTTGAGAACGAACTTGATGCAGAACAGCGTCGAAATGGTGAATCTGTGAAAAACCAGCGTAAACATGAACGTAAGTTGAAGGAAGTCACTTATCAAGCAGAAGAAGACAAAAAGAATCTGACCCGCATTCAAGATCTTGTTGACAAACTTCAAATCAAGGTCAAAACATACAAGAGACAAGCTGAAGAAGCCGAGGAACAAGCCAACCAAAACTTATCAAAATATCGTAAACTGCAACACGAATTGGATGATGCTGAAGAAAGAGCTGACATGGCAGAATCTGCTCTCAACAAACTCAGATCTAAAGCTCGTGATATGTGAAGCAAAGCAAGTTGAAATGTCAAACGAATAAATTTTGAGACATAACTTGCTAGAACTCCTACATTACTAAGCTCATTTTTCACATTTGCAGGAAATGGAATAAATCAAACGCCATCATGAAATTTGGAAGGACTTCATGCTGCATCGTTATTTTTGTTATGAATAGTATCTTCATTTCGTACTCTTGCCTTTCTTACATTTTCCATACCATTCTCTTTATTTTTCCTTTTCAAGTCCATGCCTATCCGTGATTTTGGTCTTGTGATATTTACGACTGAATATGCGTTGCTCGAATTATTTGAATTTTTTTTCACTCCGATCAATCAATCATGTGATATGTTTTTGTACTTACGTGATGTCTTTTTTTTATTACACTGAATTAATACAAATGTTGCAAATTACTTTACTTGTGTTTATAATCAGTATAGATCACGTCAGGGAAAATCAAAATGGGTTCTTATTTGTCCGTTCATTCGAATAAACAACGGGTTTTTAAACTTTTTTGATACGGACCCGGAAAATATTTTCTTGGTTGTGCGAACCCCTTGCAAAGCGAACTGTACAAAATGCAGAAACATGATGAGAAATCAAGGGATAATCGACATTACATCTCAGATGCACAATTAAAGGGCTAGGATAGGCGAAACCACAAGACAAGCAAAATATCAGTTATCGTTGAAATTTTTTCAATTCATTCCATTCTTAACATTTTCACTGATCTTTCACCGACCCATTAGAAGTATTTCCCCGGCCCCTTGCGGGTTCGCAGGCCCCAGTTGAGAACCCACGGAATAAACTAACAACCAGTCAATCAATGAATAAAAATGCAACCAAGTATTATTTACAACATAGAAAATCCGTAAAGTTTACTGGGCGTACGCCGTTACGACTGCGCAAACACACACACGCACACGCACAATTCTAATTGATTATTATCTACTATACAGATGAAACAATGTAGGGCTTCATATCGTTATGGTGCGACCTATTGAGATGAGCTAGAATTATCGCTCCATCGCTCATATACCTTATTAACCTCCTCCAAACGATATATAATTAGTGATGTATACGTGCTCTAGACATAAATAGGAATGCTCATGCAATTTTTTTCCAGATTGTTCAGATTGGGAAGGTTAAGCGACAAAGCATTTTCGAAGCTCAATGTTGTAAAATTATTACTGCCATGTTAGGTTCTCCATACTGTTAGGTATTCCACAAACTTGTAACATGTCATAATTCCATGAATGTTATTGCTCTTTGGAATATCAAATTGTCAGAATTGCTACTATCGGGGAAATGGGTCCCTACCCTGCGTGTTCTTATCCCAATGCTATTAAACGTATGTTAATGCCAAATGTTAGTATAATGCATAGTTGTACGATCGAATTGAAATGATCTAAAACAGTTATTTTGACCTATATATACCTAAACCTTTACACAAGTCATATAGTTTAAATCCAAATCAGTAATGCCACGAAAACATAAAAAGCTATATTCTCAAGTCTCAACTCTCGACCGGTGGCCGAAAGCATGTTATTGATCGCTCGGTACTGAAAAGCTACTGCCTAAAGACTAAGGTGTTGCTACGATAAATCACCATCAGGGAAATTGCTGAATTGGCATATTTTTATTGAATTCAACACGATAATAATACGACTGTGTTAAAACAATGAAAGTCATAGTTACATTCCCATTCGATACATTACAGATATTTGAACATTATATATATTTAAAAATAAAGACGTTTTCATTCTGACCCAGTCCTGGCTGACTGACAGCCACACGAGCTACATAATCATGTGTTTTGCAGTCATTTGAGCCAATCTGATAAGCGAACTGCAAGTATAATTACACGCAGTTCATTTTCTTTGATTACTCCTACTCCAGCAGAGCTCTGATGTTCAACTGCCCGTCAATCCTATTTTCTTCAAGTCTGCTTCACGCCACCCTTGTTGTCGGCACGCTTTTTTCATATCCAGCTTTTTCCATATAATTGACGATCACAGCATAATATTGACATCCGTTAAAATTCCTTGAATTCATTCAACATGCTGTGTTTTGTTATATTAAAATTATTTCGTTCGAATACCGACATACTTTTTGCGTTTTTATTTATTTTAATGCAAAAGTGTTTTTCGTTCAATGTAAAAGCAAGATGTCATGCATACATAGAATTTCATACACAGAACTTCAGAATATTATAATTTTCATCTGCTTCTGGAACTGGTAATTTTATATGAAAGGGTCTAGTCTAGAATTATGCATTATCTCTGAATCGCTCGTTTACCCTGATTTTTCATTTCGCAAGAAAGATTTTCCACTCCAATGTTTGAAGGCAAATATGTTGCATTTCAAAAGTATGATAACAACGCCAAAATAAATCAGAAATTCGTTATCTGTAAACATAATCAGACTACTTGGCACTATGCCGCTATTTTCCAAGTTTATATGAATCGTGTATTTCATCAAACATGGATATTATGAAAAACTAATATACATGGTTTGCGGTTATTAAAAACTTTTATCATCTAAGAAAAGCTGTGTCATGTTTCATGTGTAAATTATAGCACATGTACAGTTATGATAAATCTGGATATTGCACACCGCTATATACGTGGCGAAACTGTTATCAAAGGCAATGTACCAAAAACACCATGCAGAAAAAAAAATCAAATTATTTAAAGAGTGATTTTCCACCTAAAATTTTTTTTCAGAAATTTAGTATAAAACCTGGTCCACGGTATTCCTCGAACTGCTATTCTGCGCGGTACGCAAAATAACAAGAACATTTGGGTATCAAGAGCCCTTTACGCGACCTCACAGACAACATTCAATTTATCTGAAATTTACACTTGGATATTGAGAGAATATCTAAATTTCTCATTAGCTTTGACGCTTCCGGTCTTTAATGTTTACAAAAACCTAACTTTCATTTATTCTATAAAAGTTTTGTAAAAATACCTTAATGAGCTGAATTTTGCCATGCTGTGCGACAAACAAAGGCAATCTGACCGTATCTACAAAAATTGTAACCTCACAATGTAGTGAACGAACGCATTGCATTCTATTCAATGGCCACCCAATACGGAATCAACGAGACCCAATTTTGTCGGGAGACATTGTGTCGAATTTGAATGTTTAAGTGACATTAGTAAAAATTCAAGTTTGAGTACAAATACAAAAGTCCAGTAGTCGGCCAACAGCAGAATTAATATACATTGCTGAACTTTAGAGTGTGCTACTCAGTATTGTTTATTCTTGTCAGCTTATTCTTATTAGTTAAATAAATTGTCTAAGAAAATTATATGAAACACTTATGACCTTGGAAATCTTTTGGGGGTATGGAGTTTTGCGTATGGGGAGGTTTTTAAACCAATTTGTACGACGGTTTGGAAATTGAGGGCAATTTTTAACAAGACTCTGAAGACAATCATATGTAAACATGTAGCTTCTGTATCTACGTGTCATTGTGCCTCTTTAGCACGTTGAATCTCATTATTGTTACAGTTGGACAGGGAGTGAATAGTGTGACTAAATTGTTGTTGTTATTTTGATGGCTGTTGTTGCGAAATCACTGCACCAAACGATTATACAGTAATGGAAGTGAGTCCCTAACTGCCTGTCCTTATTAAATAAAATATATATTTTTTTTTATATTGCTTTCAACTGCAGTAAAGTCACTAACATGCAGCTACATTTTCATTCATTTTTTGATAGTCGTTAATTCAGGTTTACATTTATTTCACAAACGCCGCTGCACGGCTAGAAAGAATGAAATGCAAAGTAGCATTCTTTGTTCTGGGATATCCCCAAAATTTTCTGCGGGCTCATACCTTGTTCCTGCATCCTTAAAAGGGAACTGCAATAATAAATAGAGTCGCCTAAAGTCAATGGTCCGTGCAATCACAGAAGCTAAGACAAATAACCCCATTCCCCGGAAAAACTGTCTAATACCAAATATCTGCATTTCTTTTATCCACTGAATATTTATTGTACATGAATTATAAGACAATTGGAGAGAACTGTTCATCCTGTTTTGATGAATTCTAATTTTTTTAACATAATGTTGGCCAATATGAAACGTGTCAAATCAGACAGAAAACAGCTAATTGTTTGGAGCGAAAAACACAGCTTGCGCTCGCGTCGCGTAACTGATCTTCGATTGTGTGATGCGATCACTAATAGCAGTGTTCTCTCTTAGCGTCGCGAGCAAAAGTTCAACAATATTCAGCTGTTTAATTAACACATTGAGTGCGAATGCGTTTGCCGTGTTGCGTTTCAAATGTTGGCGTATAAAAATTCGACCACAATTCGATTTAAATCATTATCGTCGCTGATGAATATTCGTACACATCAAGCATTGTTCTGTAAATTGTAATCTTTCTCGTATCCAGGGAGTCAAAGTTCTTTCTATAACTCTGAATAGACAACAATAACTTATGCCTGTATTTTTAATTATTCAGATAAATTAGGTGAACGAATAAAAATTATTTAAAGACTAAATTTTAAAGCACCCAGCAAATATGGCAACTTTGGATTTATCTATATTTCAAGATGCAGCACCTTACTTGCGAATGTCTCAGGAGGAAATGCTGAAATTGCAAACGCAAAAACCAGATGGTAATATTTCCTTATAATAATCTGCTTATAAATTGAAATTTGAAATTATATCTAACCCATGTTATTCCCTTATTCCAGGTAAAAAATATGCCTGGGTTCCAGACAAGGAAAAATGTTATTTGAAAGGGGAGGTTCTTGGTATTGATGGAGGAAAGGCGAAACTGAAGACAAGCGACGACGGAAAGGTGCTGTATACAAAGCCTATACTTACATACAAATTTTGTATATTTGATATTTACTGAAATCGAACTTTTTTGATAGGAGGTAACTGTTAAAGAAGATGATCTCCAACTGATGAATCCACCGCGATACAACAAATGCGAAGACATGGTAAACATGACCCATTTGAACGAAGCCAGCGTACTCAACAATCTCAAAGA